GCACTTCTGGCAGCCGGGTTGCATCCCCTCGCTGGCAGGGAGAGCCCGAATTGGAGCGGAGACTTGATCCTCTATGTGACGGACAGCGACAACGTTCGATCCTGGCTGACCAAGAGGCGCCCCAGAAACCCCTTCGCTAGGCTCATGATCTGTCTGGTCCAACGTCTTGAAGCAGAATACAACTTCTCGTGCCATGCCGTCTACATCCGCACTTACCACACTGAGATGGCTGACTGGATCAGTCGAACTCCAGTGGACGAGGTGACCAGCAGCATGATGGCACGGGGTTGGGCCAAGGTCGATTGCCTCGAGTTTTGGGAAACCCTTCTCATCGGAGCCACGCACACTGCCATGGTGTTACTGGGGGGCGACCCCCTTCGGCAGAAGGCCCGTCAGCTGGCCTTACCGGTTTCGACGCTCCCAGCCCCCCTCCGAGTGTGGCTGCACCAGCCCTGGGTGGCCAGGACCCGGACCGCCTTTCGCCTTCCTCACCTGCACCTAACACAGCGGCGGCGCCCGTCCCTGATCCCACATCGGCTGGAGCGGAGGAGGTCCCGCAGCAAGTGGGAGGGACTACGTCCCGGCAGTGGAGCACTTCCTCACCCGCCGCACCAAGAGCCGGACGCACCCGCCGGCCCGCACGGAGGAGCCAGCCGACTCGGATGAGGGTCTTGAGGAGATCGTCATCGACGCCGTGAATTTCAAGGAAGCCAAACAGAGGTTCCCACCGACACAGCTCAGGAAAAGGAGAGGGACGAGGATGGGCGATACGTCTACCATCCCTCCTTCGTCGACCCTGGACGAGACGTTCTCACAGCGCAAGATCGGGCTGACCTCGCAGTGCTGAGGGAGACCTACGACCGGATTGCCAACAGTGCTGTTCTCGAGGCCGCAACAAGCGTCTGCTCCACCTGGCCCGTGGAGGCACCGTTCCCCTAGTAGTGGGGTTGGTGCACATCTTGCAGCGACACAGGCCGAACCGGCCGCAACGGCGAAAGGTCGAGGCAAGCGTCCTCGATACCCCCCGGGCAGCTTGCGACCATCGGCGGTTACCGCCCGTGCAGATCCCAAATACCAGCAGGATCTGGACGCCGGCCTGACCTCTCAAGACGCATTCAAGCGTCATAAGAGTCGCTTCACGGCCCTTGCTGCACGCAATGAAAGCGGGTAAGGAGATCCCGTCCCAGCCTGCGTCAGGGCCGGACTACTGGGGAGCTCCCCCCACTGCAGTCCCGCGGCAGAGGGCTGGATCAGCTCCGTCGTAGAGGGATTGCCTCGAGACCGGCGGAGCCGAACTTTGCCAGGGCTATGCACTGTCGAGCGCGAGGGGTACACAGGTGCCCAGTACTTTAGGGAGGACCCCGGCCTCCATCATTGTATGCGCAAGCATCCGAGAGGGAGGCACTGACAGCTGCCTGGTCTACGGCACTCTGGCCGAACGTCCCAGCACCCCTCCGGTGTCGTGGGGAATTAAGACCCCTCCATGGCCTTTCAAGGGCCCAGTAAACGCTCCAGCAGGCCCCTTCACGGAATGCACGAGAAGGTCTTCCCCCCGGTGGCGTATGTGCCCGGATGGGTGCGGGAGCCACTTGTCGCCCGTGGTGACCAGAGTGGGTTCTTGAACCAGAGTACCCGAGACCGAGGCCGCAGGGGGGTCCAACAGTAACATGGCCAGCAAGGGGTGAGGGGTTGCCTTCAGCCCTTCTAGCTGAAACTTGGGGGGAGCCCCCCAGATTGCTAGGTTGCGCTTGCGGGCTGAAAGGGAACCCAGGTGGATGGTGATGTTATTCGATGAACATCCACTCCGGTTCGGGCTTAATGTCACCAACCCAGCCACGAAGAACGAGCTGCTGCGGGGAATCCAAGACAATGACCTCCCAGTTCCTCTGCTTGGACCTCAACACCCTTTTCGCACGCTCACGCTCTCGCCCACTTGGGTCTTGTGAAAAGGAAGCCCAGAACCTAACGGCGCGACATGTGCTCATGCTAGAGGCAAGGTCTTACTTGGGATGAGAATAATCAAGCGGTCAACCTTGACAGCTTGCTGGACTACCTCGAGATGAACTTCTTTCCTGGACACGAGTGCGAGAGGAGTGGGCGGCCGGACGTGGGGGACCCCCCCCACCAGGTACGACTCAACCGACGACCTCCCGGAGGAACGCCGCCCCAGGTCCAAGGCCCGCAGCACCACCCCTGCAAAAGCGGGCGAAGCACCCCTCCCACCAGGTGGCACCGTCACAGCACCGTCGGGAGGCAGCTCTGGGTCCTGGGACGTGTTTAACACGGCCCCCACGCCGGAACCAGCTTCTTCCTCAACCACTCCAGGGGTTCCTCCGACAGAGTCTGGCACCCCCATGCATGTTGAGGAAGAAGGAGCAGTGTCGCCGGAGGAAGAGATGCTACACAGGAGACTACTCGGACATGGCTCCTGATTATGATGAATAGGGGTTCCCCCGCAGATCGTGGGCGACAGCGGCGGCTGGCGCGCGGTGGCTGCGCGGCGGCCCTACTTCTGAGTCCCTGCCACGACTTCTCTTGAGGGGCTAAGGATATATAGTGTACAGCGGGCCCGGGGTCTTACTGGGCGTTACGCCCTTTGTTGAGTCCTAATGGGCGCCACGCCCTGTGCACTTTGTTTTGTTGTTTGAGTGCATTCTGCACCTGCTGGGCCAGCGGACACGGGCCTTTTTAGCCTGGTCCGTATCTGTACTGCTGGTCTTTTTCTGTGTAGAGTGCGCTTTGGTTTTGATGTCAGCCCAAAGGCTGACATCGCTTGCAGCTAGCCTGCCGTATAACAGCACGTCTCACCCGTACACAGTGCGCGTCGAGCAAAACATCCACCAGACTGCAGGGTTTTGTAACAGGGCGGGGTGACGATGTCATAAAGTTTTTATTGCACCTGCAATGGGGGCAACCCTCAGCTAAGACTGGGGGACCCCCCTTTCGCTGCCCAAGGTGCATCCGGCGATCGCTTCGTTCCGCCCGCTGCAGCAAAAAGAAGGGTGTGTTTGCTCACTGTACAGCTGCCTGCACGCTGTGTAGAGTTTTGGCAAGTTGAGCGAAGTAGCAGAACAGAGCCCATTTCAATCATTTCTCCAGGCCGTGGCCATAGCCTGAACATTGAATTCCGAAACTTCGAAGCTCGCTCAACAACAGTACCCTTGCCATCAAGGACATCCCAAGTCTTTGAAAGTTCGTTAAGTGCAGAAGGAGTACACCTGCCAGCAAAAGGAAAGCTTGACAAATTTTGACTGCATGAAATGCTTGCAGCTAGTCTTCGCAATGCTCGTTCCCATTCGATTTGTTGAGTGGGCAAGAAACATGCAATCCGTCAAGCACCCTCTGCAGCGATGTAATAAGCTTAAGTCTCAAAGCCCCAAACTCTCAACCCCCAGCCGGAAGGGCAATCCGAAGCCAGAAACACTCTGTTGCAAGGCCCCCCGCCCGCTGCCGCCCCAGCGCCTTCTGCTGCGCCAGGCGGTTCGGAAAAGTCCTTCAGGTTTCAGGGTGAGCATTAGAGATTCAGGGGCCAGGGTTGAAGCTTAGAGTTTAGATATTCTGCGCAGGGTTTTCGGTTTCTAGGATTACTCTGGGGCAGCAGCAAGCCCGAGCACGGCATGCCCAAGCCCAATCCCTTAACCCGAAGCCCAAATCCTAAACCTGAAGCCCCCAATCCTTCTACCTCGCCCCTAAATCCCCCCAGCACCGCAGGTTCGCATTGGATTATGCTTGATACATGATACACCCAGCGCCCTCAGTCCCAAACCTACACCCCAAGCTCTAAACTCTGAAGCCTCTGATACGAGACCCTGCGCCCGCCGCTGCCGCCGCTGCCGCCGCTGCCGCCGCTGCCCAGCCGCCTGCCGCTGCGCCAGGCGATGCTGAAAATTCTCTAGGGTTGATGGTTCAGGGCTTGGGGCTAAGGGATTGTAGTTCCGGTTTAGGGTTTAGGTTTCGGATGTGAGGTTTAGGTGTTAAGGTTTAGGGTAGGCTCTAAGGGTCGATTCTGGATGGAAGAGAGTGCTATTGTTACATATGTAGCAGTTATGATAACATTTCTTTATTGTATTTTTTTTCGCGCCGGGGCGTCAGGTTCAAGAGGGGTTCTGGCTTGGAGTCTACGGTGGATTTAGAAGGGTTTGGCAATCAATTCGCCAGATTTTTAGAATCGGTTACTGAGGCTTCATCGCATAAGACGGTCAACCGCGCCTTGGGTGCGACCGCGATGCATGTATCAGTTGAGGCTTGTGGTCCTGGAAGGACAGGGCCGCTGCCCATGTGCTGAACTCCCTGAGTGGCACCATGGCTGACTGCCCCGCGACATACCTACACTCTCAGGTTAGAAGTATGGGCCCCTAAGCTGAGCCCTTAGCCCGTTTAGGGGGATTCTGGGGATCCTGAAGCGTACATATAGGGTATCTATTAGGTAGATGAGGATCCTAGGGCCCATACCGATTAGGGGCCCATGCTTTTATTTTTAGATACACTACACCCTAAGTTCCCAATTGCTGAGTCGCACTGCATCTTTTTGAGCGTTTGCTGTGGCTGATGCAATACGAGCCTACGTCTCGCAGAGACCAATGTCTAGATTGCAGCTCTTGGGGTTGATGGTTTAGGGTGCAGGGGTTAGGAATTTGCGTTGAGGTTTGGGGAAGGGGGAGCGGGGAGTCGTGTTGAGCTTTGTTCCCAGCAACAGTGACAGTCTCTGCGACATGTGTGCAGCACAGGGATTTGCGTTGAGCCCTGCTTCTTAACCCACAGCCCCGACGCTAAATCGCAGGTAGTTCCTAAGCCCCAGACCCTGAAGCCTCAACACCAAACCCCTGAACCCCAGACCCTAGACCCTACACCCTAATCCCTTAAGCGCCAACCCCAAAACCTAAGACCTTAGACTCCCTGATCCGCAAACTCCTGAGCGGGGACGCGAAGCCCGGAACTGCAGTTGATGGTTGAAGGTTCATCAGACCTGTAGTGCGGGGATGTGAGTTTTACAGTTTGGACCGCCAAAGTTACGTCCAAAGCGTTGGCCAAGTGGCGTTGTTGCTCTACTAAGGTTTCAGAGTAGGGCTTTGCGTTTCGGAATTAGGGTTTAAGAATCGAGTCTGGAGTTTAGCAGTTGAGGTGTGCATGGAGTCGAGTGGTGTGGAGGGATGGAAAAGGCCTCTTTCGACAAGGCCATCTCCATGGGGCCCTTTACAGTCCCATGTTCGTTTGTAGAGAGTATCTCCCTTCTTCCCAGGATCCGTGTTCCATAGTGCGAGGTTGGGCATTCCTACTGCATCTTGCACATGTGTAGCGTTGCTTAGCGCTGCTAACACGAAACCCTAATCCCAGAGCACAGAAGCCCACTCCCAGCACTCCAAACCTTCGTCAATCCCACCCCAATGCCCTGGCAGTTGCTGCGGTTGCTCCCCGAAACGCAGAGTTTGCAGGGGGGAAGCCTGGAACGCAGGCCGGCGGGGGGTGTTTTCCAGGGGTGCTCTCATGGATCCTGGGAGCATCCTGGGCATAGGGTTTCTTCAGGTTTTCTTCAGGATTAGTACCCTGAGCTCTAAGCCCAGAACCCGTGAACTGTTTTTGAAAGCATGTATAGGTAGCGTAGGGTAAGCACGCGCGAAGCCGAAACAACAGCATCATACCGCGTTGGGCTGGGCAAGGCTTCTGTAGGGATCTACGCAGGGGTTCTTGAGTGCATATACGTTTTTGCAGGGAGCTGCTGAAGTTTAGGACTCCTTGTGTACCCCTTGAAGAAACACGAAGCGCTCTGTGATGTGCACAAATCCAGCTGCACGTAGAGAAGCATATATAGTCCATGGTCCAGGATGGACATGTGAGCTGAAAGATGCGTTTCTCCCAAGCTTGCCATAAGGCATTGTCTCCGGATCGGTGCCGCTTGCTTTCAATTTTTTGCTGGCGTGCCAACCTGAGAGTTGTTGTTAGTGCTTGAGAGTTTGCAGTGGGCCAAAGACGCACTAAGAGCGCTAGACGCTAGGCCTAACGAGCACACGATCATTGGAGCTTCGGACCTGGGGCTTGCAATTGAAGATTTTGTGTTGTAACTTTGTCGATTTAGGGTTCACCGCTGCCAATGTCAGTATTATTTGGGAGCTGGGAGAAGATTTGGCTCCTTTTTCTTTGCAAGGGTGTAGCTCTGTCCTGGTGCGGCGAGGG